CTGGGCTGCTGCTCTCTCCAGAGAGAGTTGTTTGGGCAGTGACACCCAACACCCCCCAACCCGCAAGTGGCCACACTGAACCCCTGAGGCTTTTAGTGTCAAGAGTGCACTGGATGTCCAAAAAGTGAGCAAATAAATTTGTTTAGCCCAGCGTCTAAGTTGACTCAACAGTAGAATCAATCACAAAGCCTACAAACAAAAAGGCCCATGCTTTTATTTTCTTTGGGGCCAGATGTAATCAACCCCATCTTCTATTTTCTTTCTCCCAAGGGGCAGACTTGTCTATCATTTCCTGTCCTCATCCCCCTGCTTCCTCATTCCTCGCTCGCTGGCCAGCCCAGCTGCTACCAGTCATCCTAACTCCCCGCTCCCCCTCACGGCCGTCCATCCCCAGGCTCTAGCAGCCCCAGTAAGAGTCTCAGCTGGGATCATCAAAACTCCAGGACAACCCTACAGAGAAACAACGTATCTGACAAACTTCACCGTCCAGTGGTCTAAGAGAAACCCTCTCGACTTCCTGAAACTCTGCAAATATAGAAGCCATCTTCCACGTAGGCTGCCACCAAAATGATTGCCCCTTTGGCCCTACTTGACATGGAGATTTAGGAAAACAAAGTCCCTGTTGTGGGTTGGCAGAACAACACCCCCCACCCCCTGCAAAGATGCCCACATCCCAATCCCAAGCAAAAGGGAATGAAAGTTGCAGATGGAATTAAGGTTGCTCATCAGCTGGCCCTACAAAAGGAAGAGTTGCCTGGATTATCCAGATGGACCCAATGTACCCACAAGGGTTCTTAAAAGCAGAGCAGGGCACAGGAGAGAAGATCAAGTGACACAACCTGAAAAAGACCTGGGTCACTGTTGGTGACTTTGAAGATGGAGGAAGGGGCCATGAGTCAAGGAATACGGGCTGCCTCTAGAAGATGGGAAATGGAAGGGAATGGGATTTTCCTTAAGAGTTTCCAAAAAGGAATGCAGCCCAGTCGGCACTTTGATTTTAGCCCAGGGAGACCCACATCAAACTTCTGACCTACAGAACTGTAAGACAGTAAAATCTGTGTTGTTTTAAGCCACTCATTTTATGGTAATTTGTTAGGGCAACAACAGGAAACGAATATACCCGGTTACCAGTACCACCGTTGCGTCTTCTGGACCTGACGGATAAGCGACTGTTAATGAAGTAAAACTCTCTATGCGGAGCCCACAGCACTTTCAAGTCACTTCCCCCGGAAGGCCAGCGCCATGCCCCTAGCACTTACGTCCAAAGAAACCAGTGCCCAAGGACAGAAAACACACTGTGGTTTTGTGTCACAGGGCAACTTCTAAATAGAACACTTTGCCTGTGCCATTTTTGTGAGGTATCTGCTTGACACAGATCTTTAAAAAGCAAACCCACTCAGAGTTATTTCTGTAACTGAAGGTGGGCAAGAATGGGGATAGTAAAATGAGACTATTACTTATGAAATGAGCAATGGAAGTTAGGCCTATTCTTATTTATCATTTAATGCATTAATCTGCATCTAAGTATGGTGATGACAATTTCCATTTCAGACCACCCAAAATCCACAGTGCGTGGGTCTCGGCCTTGGTGGTGTTCTTTAATGGCCTCAAAGCTGTTTTATGCCAATCTGTTCTGGTTGTTTGGCTGGTGCCATAAACTCACAGCCAGAATTCATTCTTTGCAACGTATTTTTTTTGTGGTAAGTACCCTAAACCCACAGTGAAACAGAATCCTGCTTAATAGAGGGTGGAGGTGGAGGAGGGGAGCCATGTGGAGGTCAGCACTCCCTATTTCAATAGATTTGGATTCTCCTTCCAACTAGCTGGGAGTGGAGGTTCAAACCTTAACAGTGTTCAACTGACAAAGGTCTTGCTCAGTGATTCTTATTGCTCAGGCTTGAAAGTAGTTACGGATCACACAAGCTGGCCTAAAAATAAAAAGCAACGATTTCCAATGCCAGAACAGTGGGGCCATTTAAGCTCTATTTTTAGCAAGTCTCGGTTACCTGGGAAGCGGCATATGGCTCCTATAATTCTTCAAAGCGTGAGAGCATTAAAAGATTGAAGTGCCTGCGATAAATGGGCTGGTCCCCAAATGACTGTACACACACTGACCAAAGGAGACAGCCAACACCCCAGTTGACCCAACAGGCTTCCAAAGGGACCCACCATCATGCTGCAGTCTCTTAGCCATTAGCAATGGTTCAAATATTAAGCCAGATGATGGAGGAGTTTCCACTACCAATTTACGATATTGAAGACTTTATGGTTTTGACAGGAGGGCATTTTCTAAGCAATTACTCCCTAGGGAGGAAGAAAAGCATCCTGAAGCAAAACACCAGGGACTGGTTCAAGCTAACATAAAGCAAGAGGAAAAAAGAAGAAAAACATCTTGCACTGCAGGGGGCCAGAGACACTTCCCTAAAATGCAGGATGAGAGCCCTGCTGCAGAAATGAGCACTCTGGCTCCCTTATCTCAAATCTACTGCGCCCAACCCAGGGCGCCCAGATGTGCCTCTTTACTCACCCAGGAGGAAGTGTGGCAAGCCTGAAAGCTGACCACAACTAAGGAAGATAAAGAAGATTTCTTCTATGGTAGAACCATGGCAGGGAAACTTTGGAGGGGACAGTATAACAAGCTAGCCCCTCAGCTACCCTGAAGACAGGGCACGCGCTTTACAAGGGGCTGATCATAAATGGGTCTTTTCTTGGCAAGTTCAATGCAAAAGAAACTTCTGAGGGCTGGGTGTGGTGGCTCATTCCTGTAATTGCAGCACTTTGGGAGGTCAAGATGCCGGGAGTTAGAGACCAGCCTGGGCAACATAACGAGACCTCCATCCCTACAAAAAACATAAAAATATTAGGCAGGTATGGTGGTGCGCACCTGTGGTCCCAGCTACTTGGGAGGCTGAGGCAGGAAGATCACTTGAGCCCAGGAGTTTGAGGGTACAATGAGCCATGATGGTACCACTGCACTCTAGCCTGGGCAACAGAGTGAGATCCTGTTGAAAGAAAGAAAAGAAAGGAAAGGAAGAAAGGAAGAAAGGAAGAAAGAAAGAAAGAAAGGAAGAAAGGAAGAAAGAAAGAAAGAAAGAAACAAACAAACAAACAAAAAGAAATTTCTGTTAATGGCTAATCAAAGGCCACAGAAAGATTCTCATACATACAGCAGAAGTGGTCTAGGCACAAATGCTGTTGTGTTGCCAAAATTCTCCCATGGATGGCGTCACTGATGATTTTATCTATTTTTTAGGCCTCTTGAGAGAAATGCTATCTAAACGTAAACAAACCTTACAACACGATAAGGCCAAGAGTAGGGAAGACTGAGTAGTGCTGGCTTTCTCGGTCGCCCCAACCATAGGCAACATGCATTTGAGCAGAAATCAATATGCAAAATTAAATATCAATTTTTGAACTGGTTGGGGAAAATGAGGCTGGCATTAAAGTCATATGTTGTTTTCACTCTTTCAACAAATATTTTTCTTTTGCTGCCTGTTGGTGAGACACTGTGCCAGGCATAGTGATACCAGCATAGACAAGAAGACCTGAGAAGGCTGTGGTCTTGGCCTGGGCACCGGGGAAACTAGTGCTCACAGAGCATAATTTTTGGAGTCCTTGCAGTCCCTGCTGGGGCTTCCTGAACCAGCATGCGCCTTCTCCTCAAGTGGTGACCCTTCTCCTGTGCTTCAGGAAGCAGCCAAGTTACGGGTGGGGAGGGAGGAAAGGGAAGAGGGAATTATGTCTGGCTACAACAAATCGGATTTCCTTGCATTTTCCAGCAGACCAAGTAAAACAAAGATAAATAAGATGTCTCACGATCCCCCCTCAAAAATAAATAACTCATCCCCAATTGGTGGCGTCTTCCTGTTTATAAACCCCAGGAAAGTGAAATTGCAACTGCAGTGTGTATGAATTATTTTAGTCAGACATGCGATTCTCTTCCACCTCCTAAGCAAGAATTTGTCAGCTCCAGGCTGAGAGCCAAGATTTCTCAAGACAGGGCCTAGGACAACATGGAGGGAAGGAAGGGTCCAAGCACAGTCTTAGCGAAGCCCAGGGAGGCAATGAAAAGGGGCCGAGGATGGTGCTGCTGGATCCAGCAAAGGACAAATGAGTCTTGCTGGCCCCTGCAGACTCCTAAGTTATCACCACAGAAAGTTTGTCCTATCTTATATACAAAAATGAGTGCACATAAATTTGACAAATTAATGACTTACTCTCCCCCATTATCAGAGGAAAGCAATTGATGAAAGAAAAAAGAATAAAGACTTCTAAATCGAGCTGCCTAAAGGAATAGGGACCTGTAATGACTTCCCAAAGACCTCATCTCCAAATAACACAACATGAGGGATTAGGGCTGCAACACAGGAATGAATAAGAGGGGGATACGAACGTCCAGTCCACAGCAAGCTGGAGGGCAAGAGGGTATTAGGAAAGGAGGGTTTGATTTGTCTACCTACTATGTGCATGTAATGTATGATGAGGTGATTATCACACACAAGAGGGCTCTGGGCACGATGTGCTAGTGTGGGCTTTTGTTATTGTTTATTTGTAACACATCTGGGCCCCTACTGTGCACCGGGATCTTTGTCATTTAATCCTAGGGATGCTAGCTGCTCTGTCAGCTTCGCTGAGGAAGCTACAAGTACAACAGTGGATGGGAATGCCCTCTGCAAAAGGACTGTGGCAAACAGAAGACTGATGGATGAAATTGTCACTCATGAGAAAGACCCCAAAAATATGCTTTGTTTTTTAGGATTACTTCAACATTTGAATCCTGACAATCACAAAGTATCAGAAAACAAAGTCCTCCCTTCAGCAAATTCACCAGTTCTGACAACTTAACACTTAAAATATATCCACAGCCATGTGATTGGCAAAAATGTGATGGTATGATATGGCAGAAACTGATCATTCTCTCTAGTACCCATTATCCCCTTCCTCTTTTAAAAAATACAGATGCTTCTCAACTAACCACGGGGCTACACCTGCATAAACCCATCATGAGTTGAAAATATCCTAAGTTGTAAATGCACTTTCGACTTAGGATATTTTCAACTCACGATGGGTTTATGAGGACATGATCAGGAATGTGCTGGATGCATGTCATTTTTCCACCATTGTAAAATCAGAAAACCATTTAATCAACCCATTATAAGTCAGGGGCTGTCTGTAGAACCCATCCCTCCCCCCATGGTAAACAGAATAATGCTCCCCAATGCCTGCAAAGTATGTCCATGTCCTAATTCCCCAAACCTGTGAATATGTTACATAACGTGGCTAAAGGGACTTCACAGATTTGATTAAGGATCTTGAGATGAGGACAGTATCCTGAATTAACTGGCAGATCCCAGTGTAATCACACGGATCTTTAAAAGATGGAAAAGCTGGAAAAGGAAATGAGATGAAGGGAGGAGGGGTCAGGGTGATGTGAGGAAGAGGCCAGAAGCCAAGTCATGCAGATGACCTTCAGAAGCTGCAAAAGGTAAGGAAAGGGATCCTCCCCTCCAGAAGGTACTCAGCCCTGCCCACCCATTCTGGACTTCTGATTTCACAAACTAGAATATAATAAATGTATGTTGTTTGCAGCCATTACATTTGTGGTAATTTATTACAGCAGAAATAGGAAACTAATACTCCTCTGCCTTCAGCTTTTGCTGGGCACATGGTTACACAGCTGGAGCCTGTTTCCTCAGACTCACCTGCAGCTGGGTGTGAGTCTGTAGCTAAGTTCTTTGCAATGGGGTGTGGGTGGAAGTGATGTGAGCAGTTTCCAGGTCATGTCCTTAACAAAGAGAAGCTACTCCCCGTCTACTTCCCTCTGCCATGGGCTGGAAGGTGGACACAGTGCTGGTGAGCCAGCTCCAACCATGTCCACAAGAGAGAAGGAACCTGAGCAAAGCAATTCACTCACTCTGACCAGTCCAATGGTCATAGCCTGAGAGGGAAACAGCTATGCTGTTTTGGGGTCTCTGTGATGGCAGTTTAGTCTATGTCCCAGTATATCTGTGATACCAAATATTGGTGAGAATAGGGAGCAGCAGAGATGTTTACACTCTGGGAACACATATTTTGAAAATCAATTAGGCATTCTCGTCTAAAGCTGAATATTCATATACTCTCTCCTTCCATGAATATGTTATCTTCTTCATTCATTAGTTTGTTCATTCACTCAATTCTTGAGAACATATACTGGCACAACACTTTGGAAATCCAGCAACTTAAAATCCAGCAAAACCACTCCTTGTTATGAACCTTTAAAAAAATACACCTCACACATACACCAGAGACATTTATTCAAATGGTGATGGGAAGTCTGTACATAGCAGCAAAAAACTGGAAGCAAAGCAAAAGTCCATCGGGGGAGAAAGGGTAAGTACACAGTGGCATGTTCAAACAATGGAATACCAGACAGGAAAAACACATGAACTGCAAAATCAGAGACAACAAGCAAGTCACAAGTCTCTGCAGTTTCGGTCCCAGTTTTATAAAACCAAAAACAAGCAAAACCAGACAGTATGTTTGTTTTTAAGAGATACATATGGAAACGATAAAATTATTTCTTAAAAAAGAAGAAAGATGATTCTAAAAAGACTTAGGGTGGTTGCTTCCACTAGGGAAAGGGGAGGGAGGGGACAGAGCTGGAGCACAGTGTTTTAGTTCTTACATCAAAAGATGAGTCCACTACTACACATTTCTTTCTTTCTTTCTTTCTTTTTTTTTCTGAGCTGGGGGTCTCACTCTGTCGCCCAGGCTGGAGTGCAGCGGCATGATCATGGCTCACTGCAGCCTCGACCTGTCGGGCTCAGGTGATCCTCCCACCTCAGTCTCCTGGGTGGCTAGGACTACAGGCACGTGCCACCATGCCTGACTAATTTTCTGTATTTTTAAAATAGAGACAGGGTATCGCCATGTTGCCCAGGCTGGTCTCGAACTCCTGGGCTCAAATGATCCTCTGGCCTTGTCCTCCCAAAGTGGTGGGATTAGAAGCATGAGCCACCATGCCCAGCCCACTACTATACATTTTATAATGATGTTTGATGGCATAGACAGACATGACATCAACTATCATATCAGCTTCCAGAACTGATTTTAACATGTAGCACCACATGAGAAGGCCTCAGAAAGAACTGTATGAAGGGATTCTCACAGTGGTTTGAAGAGAGAAAAGAGACGGGAGAACCAAGTGAACACAAAAGACTGCACCAGAGCAAGCAGTATGTGCCTGTCACATCACCAAGCAACAACCTCACGGCCGAAGCACACCACCGTGTCTCCTGTTAGTGCTGATCTTCGTGATAGTGAGTTTAAGGCAAAGCAGGAATTCTTGGGAAATGTTTTCCTTGTAAGGGGAACTTCAGCACTCATTTGAGAAACCCCATTCTGTTTTGTTCCTCTCTAAACTACCAGTGAGGAGGGAGTTTCAGAGACTGACTAGACATTTTTCTATCTCAGAAAGTTGTCTTCTAATTTGATGTGTGTTGCTAAAATTTATATCTTTCCTTCTTTCTGGATAAACAGAACTTTCTCAAACACCCTTTGGTTTAACTGCTTATTCCGTTGGGCGGTTCATAAAATGACCACATCACAATCTTCTCCCAATTAGGGAAATGAAAGTTAAGAAAAATGAATAATTGAGTGAAACTCGAGATGTCTTTGAGGAGTTCCCCCGGTTATCAGATCTTATACTTAACAGGCACTCAATAAACACTTAGAGAATTTAATTGAATTCCAACATACAGCAGTATTGAGTCAACTGTTTTGTTTGTCCTACAAATTCAAGTCAGGTTATATTCACAATTTGAAAAGATACCAAAGGGAGAAAGTATATGGTACATATTTAGCTACCAATGCTTTCTAACATTTATTATCATGAACTTTAGAACTTTCACCGAAACTTGCCCCGAGACGGCATCATAAATATTCAACTAATTTTTTTCCCAGGTACATGAGCTGACATTTGATGTACACTTGGTGGCTGAAGAATGAATACTTTCCACAATCCTGTCCATTACTGAAAGTGATGAATTAAAAAGGCCAAGGCATTGAGATGGTTCATCCAGCCTGGCTCCTGGGGGTTCTAGCCACCCTTACTTGGTGCCCTTTAAAGCTAAAAACACAATTTTTTCAGAGGAGTGCATGATGACACAAAGCTAAGCTAGAAACCACAAGGGGATTATTATAGTCATGACCTTTCCCTTGCCAGCATGGGAGCTGGACCCTATCTCAGCCAAACATGAAGTCACATGGATGGCTCACGGCCTTCAGGACACAGTTTTCCCTACAGTTCTGGGAAATAAAATTCCTTTAAATGCCAGTCAGGTAAAAGAATGGTGACCGGGCACGGTGGCTCACACCTTTAATCCCAGCACTTTGGGAGGCAGGGGCGGGCAGATCACGAGGTGAGGAGATCGAGACCATCCTGGCTAACATAGTGAAACCTCATCTCTACTTAAAAAAATACAAAAAATTAGCTGGGCGTGTGGCAGGCGCCTGTAGTCCCAGCTACTTGGGAGGCTGAGGTAGTAGAATGGCGTGAACCTGGGAGACAGAGCTTGCAGTGAGCCGAGATCGCTCCACTGCACTCCAGCCTGGGCGACAGAGTGAGACTCTGTCTCAAAAAAAAAAAAAAAAGAAGTATCAGTTGATCTGTCTCCATCTCTCCTCTCTCTCTCTCTCACACACACACACACACACATCCTCTCTCTCTCTCTCACACACACACACACACACCTCTCTCTCTCTCTCTCACACACACACACACACACACAGCGCACATATAAAAGGGATGATAAGCCATATGAGTAGAGTTTCTAGAACTAAAACTAAAAGCAAACACATGGAGGACAAGTACCCTGCCAATTCCCATGTGCCAATCCCCCTGGACTGAACTCCTCTTGCTTCTCATCATCAGGGGCCAGTCCAGTCATATGGGAATCTACGGAGATTAAAGAATGGATATAAAATGCCACCCTGTCTACAACGTGATTTCCTTACAGGATAGAAAGGGGACATATGTCCATCACATCCTCATCTATATAATATCAAGATCATAGAAACTACCTAAATGCTCAAATGACAGGGAAATAGTTACATACATTAAGATGTATGAACTCAAATACTCAGCAACTAAAAACACTGGCTTCAAAGATGACTATGAAGTGAGAAAAAAACAAAGACATATATATACACATAAATATGCATATGTATATATAAAATACATGTACATATAGCAACAAGTATATATTAATAGTAAAAACCCTGGCTGGGCATGGTGGCTCACACCTGTAATCCCAGCACTTTGGGAGGCCGAGGCAGATGGATCACCTGAGGTCAGGAGTTCGAGACCAGGCTGGCCAACATGGTGAGCCCCTGTCTCTACTAAAAATACAAAAAATTAGCTGGATGTTATGGTGGGCACCTGTAATCCCAACTACTCGAGAGGTTAAGGCAGGAGAATTGTTTGAACCCAGGAGGCGGAGGTTGCAGTGAGCCGAGATCATGCTACTGCACTCCAGCCTAGGGGATAGAGCAAGACTCTATCAAAAAAAAAAAAAAAACCTAAAAAGAAATACACCAAAATATTTCGGAATGATAGTAAGATGATAATAAGAGGAGTTCATAAGAAAAAAGAAATAGTGCCAGGCACAGTGGCTCACACATGTAATCCCAGCACTTTGGGAGGCTAAGGTGGGTGGATCACTTGAGGCCAGGAGTTCGAGACCAGCCTGGACAACACAATGAAACCCTGTCCCTGCTAAAAATACAAAAATTATCCAGGCATAGTGGTGCGTGCCTATAATTCCGCTTCTTGGGAGGCTGAGGCGGGAAAATCTATTGAGCTGGGGAGGTGGAGGTTGCAGTGAGCCAAAGTCATGCCATTGCACTTCAGCCTGGGCAACATAGTGAGATTCCATCTCAAAAAGATATATATATATATATATAATATATATACACAACTCTAAAAGAAGTACATTAAAATAAAAATCGTGGTTGTTCTAGAGTAGGGACCCATGGCTGGCTGTGGGCTGGAGAAGGCCAGTAACCCTGTCCCTGGCTCTTCC